TCCCATCCCTGCCCCAGTGAGCTGGATCAAGTCACCTAACACTTGGTTAGGTAGGCTCTGGCCTTCCCTTCATGGAATTCCTTAAAGGAATTGATTAAAGGCACATTCCACTCATTTTAACCAGCCTGTCATTACAGGCCTTGGGAGATAGTTACGGAAATTAAGAGAAAGCAAAGGAATTTGAGAAGGGTGTTGAAATGCATTTTTATAGCTTAGAAGCAAACCAATACAGATAAGCTGGAGCACCCCGATTGTTTAACTCCTTCCTGGCATTTGGCAAGGAGGAGGCTGGGGGATCGGATTTCAAAGCAGGAGATGCTATTTCATCCCGTTGGAGTGTTACCATGTTGAGACAGCAGCCTGGCTGAGGGAACAGTAAAGAACGTGCTAAAGCCCCAGATGAGATTACTTTTGTTCTCAGCCTGAGCTTCATCGCAGCGTAATCCTGGGAGGGGTATTTAATTTCTAAGAATCATGTCACCTGTTTATGGGAAAGCATGCCTCACCATGCTTCTGCCTTAGCCTCACCTCCCTGGGGACGGGACAGGACAGCTAGAGACCGCCCCAAGGACTAGGGGATTTCCTTATGAATGGCAGAGGTGACTGACATCCAAGCATGTCCATTAAGAGGAAAATCAGTCAGAATTGTGCAGGCCGGTCACTGACAGTTTCGTGAAATGGGGCGAGGCCCACCTGTGCTATGGTGGTCTAGTGGTGGGCCCACCTCAGGGTCAGCTGCACAGTGGGGTCCTTGTTGGGTCTTAGCCTCAGATCCCACAGGCCAGCTCTCAAGTCCCACCATCTGTCCTCCTGTGACCTGGGATGCGCCTCTGACCCTCATGTATTCCATGAGTACGAAGGGCAGCATTGGCCCCTGAGCCAAGTGGACCTGCTTTAATTTCACAAATGGAAAGTGCTGCGCTTTTGGGGGGGGCTGGGGCTGGGGCTGGGGGGTTAAGCACTATCCAGAGGACCCCAAACGCTCCACTTGTGTGATATGACCAGTCGCATCCTAAGAAAAATTGGGGACCCCCGCACGGATGAGCCCCGAAAGCCGGGAAGTGCCTATCAGGGGCAGATGTCCTCGTGACCGCCCACATCTTCATCCCAGAGCGTCTGGATGGGGACTGTCCTCTCAGCCTGGGGTCCCTCGCGTACCAACAGCGTCCTGCCGCAGGAAGCAGAAGCTGCTTCCCCAGGTAGGTCACCCTGAGAGCTCTATGAGGGCGGCCCACCTGGACTGCTCAGGTGTGTCCCCTGACTCAGTAGCTGCTGTGCCCCCGTGGAAGTCCGTATTGTTCCGAATCTTCTGTCCCATCAACTTGGGCTATGGGAGTGAATTCCTTGAGGGAAACTCATTACTGTGTCAGAAGCCGGTGAAATCACCCTTGGGGTGCACTTTTTTCTCTTGGGAACAGTTCCTTTCATAATTACGCTCTCTACTAGGAATCTATTACATGATCAAGTTTTTCCTCCCAAGACATCATTAATCATATGGTGACAATGCGACTGCAATTGAAAATACAAGGTGTTTTGTTCAACGCCTGGCAATCGTCGAGCTCCAGAATGTTCGAGACCCAGCGCTTGGCCTCCCCTTCCTCAACGCCGCCATCCATCACTCACGCCTTTGTTCCGAGGATCGTGGCGTTCTCATTCTCTATCTTCTTTCTTTAAGATAATTATGTAGGAGTGTTAAAGAATATTCTAATCACAATGCAAGCTTCACTGCAGCGTTCTGAGTTGGTGTCACAGCGGCATGGCTACGGTGCTAATTTCATGGCAGACGCTGTGTGAGAAAAGGACTCTCCCGGGATTTACCGGAGCCGTCCAGTGTCTTTGCGATGGAAGGAAGAGACTAGACTGGGAGGCAGACAGCCAGAGCCCAGCGTGGACTCTGACCTTGAGCAATCACGTGTGCTCTGGGGTCCGCTCCCTTTGCTACGCAACCAGGCCCTGCAGCTGTCATGTCGGAGATGCCCACGCCCTGCGGGATGCCCTGCCATCCAACCCTGGCATGGTCATTGCAATGAGCTCCACATGCAAAGTTGAAACATCAAAAACAATCAACTCGATAGAGACAGCAAAACCGATACGGTGAGAGAGGTGAGAGAAAGAGCCCCTTCCCCCAAGGCCAGTCACCCTGGGTGTCACACCGAGGGGAGGCCAAACACACAACGGCCACGTAGAGAAAAGGGGAATGAGAGAGAAGCTGGGATCTGACTTCTCAGCTTATCCTCCTCGTTGCTGGGGATGGAGACAGTCAACAGCATTGGGAAGGACAAAGCGGGAAAGCCCTCGAGTGCAAGGAGCCAGACCCGAGGAGTGGCTGGGAAGCCGACAGGAGGGCAGTGGACCGGTGGGAAAGGTGCAGGTGGGATTCACAGGTACGAGCCCCTGCCCGGGTCCAGACTAAATGCTGACTTGTACTGTTCATCCTGGAGGCGGCTCTTGGTTGGGGAAATACAGTCCCCAAATTACTAGCTCACTGGACAGGTAGCGCTTCAGAGCCTGCTGGGGATGAGGACGCAGTGAGCTCTGAGATGCACCTGGGCGCTGATTCCCCGCTTTCAGGAGATTCCCTGGGTGCAGCCTCCAGCCTCACGGGGCGACCAATCCCGCAGGCGGCAGCAGAGCCAGCTCTGCAGGCATCAAGCCTGGAGAAGGAGCGCTGCAGGGACGCTGGCACCCCGAGGCCCCGTGCTGGGCAGGGCACAGGCACCCAGTCAGGCTGCAGCGTTAGGAACCACCCCCTCTGCCCCCCTGAGTCCCAGGCCTGCCTGGCTAGCTCACACTCATGGGCAAGCCTTAACCACTTTGGTTCCTTTCTATACAGTGAGAAGGCAGACAATAATGTCACACCCGGAATTTATGCTGGAGTGAAAAACCACCTGAAGTCTGAGTTGCAGGGTACCACCAACAAAGGCTGGGGAAGGACGGGCAGCGTGAAGAGGACACAGGAGCTGCTGCTGAGGAGGGGGCCTGGGAGGAAGCCAGAAACTGGGCCTCGCGTGTCCACAACCAGCCACCGGGACACAGAAGCCCCATCCTGCCTAGCTTCCTCTGGCCCTAACCATCTCTGACTCATGGGCAGGTCCCTCTGGGCTCACTTCCTCCTCCCCCTCCCCCTCCTCCCACCCTGAGCCAGCAGGGGTTACTACAGGGCAAGCGTCTATCTGGTAGCCACCCCAGCTGAACTTGCAAGTCTCAGCCCCTCCCTTGCTGGTTAAGATGCCATCATCTTTGGCTAAGTTGGACAATCAGTGTGACTCCTTCTAACATTCAGAAAATACAGGGTAGACGAGCCACACGCCTGACTAGGAAATGCTATTCTTCACTTACAGACAATGGTTGAGCACCTGCCTGCTGAGCTGGATTTCAGACCGAGATTCTGCCGCAGTTTTCAAATGTTTGCACTTCTGTGTTGCGAGCTATCTTCACTTTAAACAAGAGCCATCCAAGCATCTCCAACCATGCGGGCGACATTCCTAAGGCCACGTGTAGCAGATGGACGGAACTTGACCCAGGCTGCTCACGGGTTCGTCTGCGTAGACAAGACGAGCCAAACATACCAAGGCCCTCCTGGTCCCTTGGTGCATTTTTTTGGTAAAAGTCTTTTTTTTTCTCAAGTTCAGGAGGAAAAGGCTGAAACCCTATGTTGACATTTCAGCAGGCACAAATGAATGAACCCAACACGGAGCCTGCCACGGAATTTCTTAACAGAACAGGCTGGACACCGTGAAAATGTGTCAGATAACGCTACACAACCAGGTTTGGTATCCACTCCCGGTTGTGCAAACGGACGTAAAGTCATCCAACAACCAGCGTGGCTGGCAGGCCCCAGGGACCAGCCAGTCCAGGTTCTAAAATCCTGGTTACCAAGAAGTCCAGAGTGCCCAGGCCCACGGCCTCAGTGGCTTAGCTTCCAGAAAGTAGAAGAACAAAAGGGAGGTAGGAGAGAAGAGAAAAAGAAAAGTAAAAAAAAAAAAAGAAGTAAGTCTTGGTGGATCTTTTTCAAAAATTAAAAGGGGTCAAATCTAGATTCAAGTTAGGGGTTCTAAAAAAAATTAGTGTTTCAGTGGTATGAGAGTCTCTTCCGTTGTTCCACATTCCTCATAGATTTTCAAGATGTTTCAAGTGACTCATTAGAAACTAGGGACCACCATTTCAACGTGTCCTCTCCCATGGGTCCCCACCCGAGAGGCCGGTGGGTGACGGGCGCACGGAGCCGAGGGCAATGAGGAGTAAGCGCCACAGGAAGACATGCGTCAGAAATACCAACCCCGGTGGCACTGACCCCACACACTTCACAAGTCTGGAGTTGGCCAAGGAACACCCAGGTTGCTAAGAAAACTCAAAAACACCATCAGTTGTTAGTTCAGCCTGTGAGCAAAACGCTGGCGGCAAACTCCTGGCCTGTGGCTGTCCAGAGACCTCCCGACTTCCATTCTCCCTCTCTCTCCTACTTTTATTTCTATGGTTCATTGGCTAATAGTTTATTTTTTTAAATATCCCATCAACACCACCCACACGAGTCCTTTCAAGATCCTCCAACATAAATGATTGCTTTGGAGAGAGGGCCTGCGAAGTTGCCAGCTACCTCTGAACACTTCAAACCTGGGAGGGAGCACCTGTCTTCCATTCTGCTCTGAAACAGTGAAAAATTGTCCTGTCTCGAGGGCCTACCCGAAACAGCCTCGAGGAAGGAGGACCCACTGAGTGGGCTCCCAAAACCAGCCACAAAGATGTGGCCAATCTTAGTAAATTCTCTGCACTCGATCAGAAGGTGAGAGCCACCGAGGGTCTTGAATCATCTATCCACCTGTTCGTAGTATAGGCGAGAATAAACCCGGGCACAGAGTAGCCGCATCAATCAGCCGTGGCAGGGACAGAGTGGGCAGCCTCAGCCTCCCAACTGCAGACCCAGATTTCCGCAGATGACCCGTTGCTTCCTTCCATGGTCCCTCTCGCCTCCTCACACCCACAGCGGCCGCCCGCCCTACCTTTTTTTCTCCACCACGGTCCCTCCGGAACGGAGTACGAAAGGTCCTTGAATTCAATGTTGACAGCCGCCCTCCGAGGCAAGGAGGACAACCGCTGCGCCTCCGTGAGGTTGTTGTCCACTTTTTTCAGGTGCCCGTTGAGCAGGTCCTTCTCGGTGGTCTCCAGGTTGCCCGAGACCACCTCGTCCACCGAGACGCACACCGACTTGGGCTCCGTCATCGCTGCAGTGTAACTGCTGGCATTCTAGAAAACGCGGGGAGGAAGCACCAGGAGAGGATATGAGCCACATCAAGGAAAAGAGCATCAGGGAAAAGAGCGCAGGAGACTGGCTACTGGGTTCAAGGTCATTGAATATTCATAACAACGCTCCTTAAATTATGGAGTGACTGCGGGAGAGAGGAGAGCTTCCCCGGGGGAATCTGTTTTCTCTAGCCGTCCCTTTTTCTCCTAGGAAAACAACGCTTACTGTAGGATAGGAGCCTCATCTAACCCGTCTTCCTTTGGAGTCATAAACCCTCATCACAAACCACAATAAATGAATCGTCGTTTCAAAGAATGAAACACTGGCCACCATAAAACATTCTCTGTGTACAGTCTACTCGTGAAAAATCCCAATAAAGGCACATAAGGCTACTAAAAATCCATAGTTGAAAGTGTTACTTAAAACGAGCTTTGCTAGCATCTGTCTCCTGTAACCTCATCAGTGTTTCTCAAGAGCAAGGATACGTGTGAGCCTCTGGGTTTTGCGGGAGTTGGCCTGTGTTTCCCTTGTAAGTTTTCCAAGTCACTTACAACTCTTTTGTTACAACTTAATCATAGCACTGGAAAAAGTTAGAAGGATTGATATTTTTTCTCTATTATACAGACGAGGTAACTGAGGCACAGACGATTTAAGGAACTTGAACTTGCTCTAAGCTCTATAGTTAAAGGAGGGGCAGAAGTGATCCCAGAATCTGAGTCATAAAAACAAAACAAAACAAAACAAAACAAAAAAACCCCTTAGAGGCCCCTTCCGCTGAAATGGGCCAGTACCTAGCGTTTTGTAACTCAGTGGCTATCCAGCTCCCATTGGAGTCAACTGTACTGCTACAGATGTGCCAGGAACCAGAAGTATCTATGCAAAGAGAGGAATATCTTTTTCTAATGGCTTGGCAACCCCAAACAAATCAATATGCAAAACTCAGAAGAACCCTGGGGTGGACAAATATTATGCTGTGCTTTCTCTAGCTGTCTCTTGAATCAAGGGGGAATTCCGTAGAGCCCCAAAGTGTGGGCCTGTGGCGATGCTCCTTCACACCACTGAAGCCGGTCAGCCTGGCTAGGAGAGAACCGTCGTGGGTCCCTCGGGCCCCCGGGACTGCGGTAGGGCTGGGGGCCCACTGCAGGGCAGCCACTCGTCCTGAAGAGCAACAATGAACGCCACACTGTTATTTTTCCACAAAGCTTTGCTAGGCATTGCTTTCGAGCTGATAGCTTTTTGATCATTATTGTTCCTAACCAAAAGTCCAAAACGAAACCTGCGAGTGGACCACCCATAACTATTCCTACCAACCCAGCAACTCACGAGGCCAAAACAAGCCTTCCCCTACTGGAATGTCCTCTTGAGGGTGCCTGACTGTGTCCTTGGAGAGCTGGCATTTTTTCCATCACGGTATAAAAGGGCTCAGAAATCTTGGAGGGCTTGGTGGGTCTGACCGTCTAAAGCACAGAGGGAGGGGCACATGGGGGCATAGGGGTGTCTGCTCCTTGTGATGTTTGAGAACGTTGCTTTGACCTTTAAGAACAGGGCACCGTGCGCACACAGGCAGGCACGCGCCTCTCAGGCATCGCCTACCTCTGGAAAGCGTAACCACATCAACGCTCGGCTCACTGACTATAACACTCTGTGGATAAAAATTAAAGTGCAAAATAAAACTGCCAAACTTAAGCTTGGTTTGCTACTGGCACCGAGCCTGTGAAACGTTTCCAGTGCAAACATAAGTAGGTTCATACACTCTGGAAGTCAGAGAAGGTCTGTGTTAGCCCAACACCAGGGCGCCTCAGAGCCTCGGCAGGACAGGTGTGTCTCCGGCTCCCAAGAGACGCAGCCACAGGACCGGCCGCCTCTGCCTCTGAGCCTCTGCTCGCCCTGGGCCTTCTGTGTCGGGACCCCTTAAAGACGTAGCAGCAGACTCTGCCATAGCTCAGCACACTCCTAGCTTTGGGTGATGGGGAGAAAAGGTGTAACTTCGGCCCTGGCACCCAGAGCCGGCATTAGATGCCCTTCGCCCACCCATCTTGTCCTTTGGGTCACGTGCTGCTGTCCCAGGCTCACAACCCACTTGGACTCCGTAACTGCCCCGGAAGCACCCAACCCTGGCTGTGGGGGGTCGTGGAGAAAACGATGGGCAAACCAAGCCCCAGGCCCAGCCTCCAAGGTCCCTTCTCACCCCACCATGCCATCCAGGAGAGAGGGCTGACCATCTGGGTCCAAGCCCACATCCTGCTGGCAGACTTGGCTCCAGCCTGGAATTCCCAGTCGCCATGTGTTTGGTTGGGGGCCAGGAGTGTCCAGCAACTCCTCTCCAGGGGCGGTCCCCTCAGCTTCCACCGTGGCCAGCATTCCAGCTGCCACAGAGCATCCATACTCTCCCCCAGAGTCCACCACAGGTGCCAACCCCCGAGGAGGCCTAGGAGAGGCCACAGCTTCCCTTTCTGATGAACACAGGGACAGACAACCACCTGCTCACTACTGGCCGCAGCAGGTGCCAGACCCGTAAGGACCTGACTTTCCCCTCTAGACCCTCAGCTTATCTGTTCTCTCACTCACTTGATCACTTAACAAACTGAGCACCAAATAAAGCCCTGGGGGCGAGTGCTCAGCCACACAGACATGGCCTGTGGCCTCAGCAACTCATTCAAGATCAGGCCCCAGGCAAACATAGGGGCCATTAGTTGCAATACGGTGAGGCCAGAGCTATAATGAGACCACGCAGAGACTCGGGAGGGACATGCAAGGCCGTGCAGGACAAAGCTGGGTGACTTCACTGATCTGAGAGTGAGAGAGGCAGAGAGAGGGGCCAGTATTCACAGTTTAGAGAATTCAACAATAACACCCCTGCAGAGTAGGTGAGTGACTGTAAACAATGACTATTGATGCAGCAAGTACAATGTGCCCTTTGAACTCCAGGCTGAAGAGAGTAAGCCTCTTACTCTCTCTCCAACTGTAGCAGGGGGCCTTGTCGTCCCCCCCATCCATTTCAGAGGAGGGATCCAAGGCACAGAGAGACTGCCCGCCCTGCCCGAGACCCCTGTTTGGTGAGCAGCCAAACTGGGACCCAGCTCTGTGTGGCTTGTAGATCCGCACCCTGTCCTCCTAGCCAGCATCCTTAACAGTGCGCAGCTTTTTACAGACAAGTTGTAGGTGACCCTGGGTCATCCCAGCCCCTGTCCATTATAGGGAAAGCCACAAAAAAAAAAAATCAGAGAAAACCATACAACCCCACACCCACATAAACGAACACTAAAGCTGTGCACACCGTGATCCACCTTTCCTCCGTGGGCGTCCACTGGCCTCGCCCAAGTAATAAAATCAGGGAAGCCTGTGTGATGGGAGGCGGTGGCTGTCACTCCAAAATAGACCAAGTCTCTGGAAACACATCCTTAGATGAGAGAGACCCGCAATGTAGGTTACAGCTCATTGTCCTCGGCCTCCTGAGCTCGTTAATAATGAACAAATACATCTTCCTTCCCCACTGGTTCCCTTTCCTGGTGTGATCCCCTACTTCAGCAAAACGTTATCTGGACCTCACCCCCTCCACACACACAATTTGTGCTGCATCATACATGGTAAATAACAGTAGGTCCATTCGTGGGCGTGGAATGCCCGGGAGCTCCTGTTTGGAGTGATCCTGCCTGTGCTTGGTGGGAATACTTCCTTTGGTGCTGCTTTCGGTGTGAATGCTAACACGGAGAGATTCCTGTTTAGCTGGAGAGGGTCTCTAACAGGCAGCAACTGCCACCCCCACCCACCCACCCACCCACCCACCAGGCCATTGTGAGGCTGGCTCACTCTACGGACCCAGGGAAGCATAGTTGGAGATAGAAACACACACAGACACACACACACACACACACACACACACACACACACCAGCATCATGGGGAAAGGAGGAAAAGGAAGAGGAACTTGCAAGCACCAGGTGTTGGCATGCACTATGACTTCTCTTTTTGGTTTATCGCCACCAGCCTCAGTTCCCACCTAAGCAGCCCTTCCCTGGTACCCCGGGGCACATTAGAGGAAAATGTACAGACAAGAATTCTCAAGGCCACTGCCTGCGGAAAAATAACCTAAATAGCACACCCTTGACTAAGCAAAGGGCAGATGCTACTTGGGTGGTCACTCAGAAGGTCAACCTCACTGAAAGCAAAGCCCAGTTTCGCTCAGCCCCAAATACCACCATCCCATCGGGAACCCATGCCCGCCCCCTCCGCCAGCTCAGAGACCCCACTACCCAGGTAGTACTACTCTCTTTAAACTCACACCTGGCCCCGTCAGCATGGGCTAAACCCCAGAGCCGGGGAGACGGCCAGGCCAATCTCAGGATCCTCGGGCGCTCTCCAGGGCTCATTGTTTAGGACTTGAATAGAACTCTTTTAATTAAAAAAAAAAATACAAGGTTTTCAGAGAGGAAAATAATTTTTTAAAAAGTTCCCTGAAAAAAAAAAAAGTCCAGGCATTGCCCTGAAACCAAACACGTGCGTCTGGGGCTGTGCATCAACCATAACGTAACACAAAGACGATCTTGACATAAAAACCTCTGTGCCTCAAAACATTCTGATTCATTATTTCCCGACGTGTATAAGGCACTTCTGCAGCTCTGAAAGGACTTCCAGAGTTACCCAGGACCTAAAAGACTTGAAACTTTCTTTACTTACAACTAACAATGCTAATCTCCTTAATTTTCCATTACCAGCATAATTTAGGAATCCCAAATACATAGGCAAATGTAAAAGGTAGGATTGCCAAGTGTGACCAAAACACCCAACCAGATCAAAGCAAAGGTGGTGAGGAGGGAATTGCCTTCCCTGTTTTTTTTTTTTCTTTTTTTTTCCCCAGCCTTCTTTTCTGTAAGAAGCCAAGTGATAAAGGCAGAGCAAGCCCAGAGATAAGATCTGTCCTGTAAGTCCCCCGGCTCCCCCCTGCTCTACCAACCTCCTTAACGTGCCCGTGGCCCCATTCTATCAGTTTACACAAAATCATTATATAATGAGCTGGCGAGGCGCGGTATGTTCTACAGTAACCTGTTTGGAATCATAGGATGCAGTTGGCAGAGCAGAGCATGCGCAGAAACCCGGCTACTTTTTTTTTCCTCTTGAGCTTAAGGCAAGAGGTAACTGTCGGTCAAATACTGCTGAGCCCTGCTGACTTCAATACAGGATGCTAAAAATGAAATAAGGCGAGGGGTGGAGGTGACAAATTGGTGCCGCTATGCTCTGTGGGCTCACAGCCTATGGGAAGGAACTAGCAGGATAGTAAATACATAGACGAAGGATGGAAAGAGGGATGGATGGGGAGAGCAATATGGGTTGGAATACGTAATATGCTCAATCTGTACTTTAGATGACCTGAAATCTAGTGCATAAGTACCTAACTGCAATGCCGGCTCGCTAGGCATAGAAATAAAAGAAAGGCCCTAGCATGGGTGGGCAGATGGCTAATTTGTTTGTATTGCCCTACTGTGAGCTTATGGAGCTATTATAAATGAGCAAGAGGAGACTTTTGACCGACCCTGGGAACAGCACTTGCTGCATCTAGCATGCATTAGCCGCCAACACCGGGTGGTCCCCCCGCGGAGCTGGTGCCTCCCAAGACGTTAGAAGAGCACTTCTGTCTCCACCCCGTCTCTCTAAAGGGTGCAGAGAGGTGGCCTGCAGGTATTCAGGCTCGCCCTTGTCTGCCTCCCCGGGGCTCCGCCGCCCCCTCCCGAGCAGGTCCCAGAGCGTCAGTTCCCGGAGAGCTCAGGGGCAGTGCAAGGCTCTGGCTTCTTTTGTTCCCCCAGATCGTGCCCGGGACTCCGGAGGGTGGCGCGGGAAGTCTCGGCTTCAGGAGCCCGGGCCGCGCGCGCCAGCGGGAGATGGGGCCCTCCCCGTGCACTCCAGGTCCCCGGGCCCCAGGCCCCTCAGACAGAGGCGGACGAGGTCAAGGCCATCTGTTCACTTGCTGGGGTGCTGGCCGCCTCCAGCCCACTCCTGGCCCCTCCACCTTCCCGGCGACCTCGGCGGGTGCAAGGAGCATCCCACAGCGCCGGGTTGCCAGGACATGGACGATGGGAGACTGGGACCTAGGGGCAGGTGTCAAGGTGAGGGCGCAGGTCTTTGTGTGTTTCTTGCTCTCCTGGAAAACAGAACCAAGCCCCGGGGGCGTAGGATGCGCTCACTCACCATGGCGGTGCCGACCGAGAAAGCGGCCATCAAACAGGCCATGCCCCGGGGGCGGGGGCGGCAGCAGCGGCGGGGACTAGGCGGCCGCGGCGGCGGCGGCGGCAGCGGCGGCGGCGGCGGCGACAGCGACGGAGGAAAGAGACCGGCGGCGGGCACGAGGATGCGCTCGCTCCTGACAGAGCCAATGCGCCGGACGCGGGCTCCAGCTCCGGCGGTGCCGGGGCTCGCCCCGCCCGCGTAAGCCCTGCCCTCGCCCCGCCCACACGCTGCCATTGGCTACTGCGCAGGATGGGCGGGGCCGGCAGGTGCGCGTGCTCTTGTTTTGCTCCTGCTGGGGGCAGTGGATCCAGCTCCCTGGCAAATCCACTCCCAGAGCCGCCTGCGCCCCTGGGCCACGCAGGCGCTGTAAGCCGTTCTCAGCCCCCGAGCCCCCGAATCCGGAAACTCACGGGGGCTAAGCCAGCGGCCCAGGGCTCTGACAGACGACCGGGTCCCCCTCTAGGACCGACTCCTCCAAGCCTGCACGGATGTATGACTTCAAGAGTCCTGGGAGGCAGGAGAAGGGGGAGGGGATCTTCTCTTTTCGTTTTTCGCCCTTGAAGACAAATGAGATGACTGCTCCGTCTCCCCCTTCCCCACTACAGCTCCGTATCCGGGATGACTACCCGCCCCACCCCTACACACACACACACACACACACACACACACACACACACACACGGAGGCAAAGTCTTGCGTTGTGACAGTTGCAGAGCTACGTGCTGGTAACAAAGGGCTGGTAACTTCGGTGAAGGGGCCCAGCCCTCTGTCCTCCTGCTACATCCCCGACCCTGCCCCTCAACACGATGAGAAATAGGCTCACTTTTGCAGAGAGGTGTTTCCACTGCCTGGCCCAGTACCTGGTCCACAGCTGTGTCCAGGTAACTGCATAAGGAATGACACTCCAGATACCCTCTTGTTTGGCCCCAGACTGGAATATCAGATGGCCTGGCATCTGCTAAAGCTCTTATTATATGTAAACGGGACCATTTCTTGGTAACCATGGTGGCAAGGCATTCTTTACTCCCAGTCTCAGAGGTTAAAGCTTTTTTGTTCAATAGTTTTCATGTCGGGACGGCACACAGGAATGTATCTATTTTCACCTCCAGAGCACCTGGGTCTCCCCTCCCCACCACACCTCAGATGAATGAGCCTGTCTTCTCACCTAAAAAGGGGCTACAGCTTTTCATACCAGGCAGGTGGACTTCACACCCACAGGTCTAATGACCACAACCAATTCTCCCCTCTAATCAAAAGAGTTATGATGTATGAGTTCAAGGGGGAAATAGCTCCGCTTTTGTCTGAAGAGTTTCACTGAAAGAGTTGATGCAATACCTCTACCCATCTGCCCGCTGTATTTCCAGGTGCCCCTCTCCATGTGCCAGGCCCAGGAGGCCGCGTGGTGCCCTAAATATACTGAACAGGGAAGTCGACAACCTCTGAATGTTCTGGAAAGAGGATTAAAACCCAGAACAACTTGGGGAGAGTTTAGGCCAAAAAGCAGAGACCAAGGTGCCTCATCTCTGGGTCCCGGAGTTGCTGACCGCCCTGCTGCCATCCCCTGCTCCAGAGGCAGACAGGACATAAAGCAGGAGAGGGTGACGTGGAACGCAACTGGGGGAGGGGACGTCTATGGGAATCTGGCTGAACACTGCCAGCTGTGTGACAGGACAAGTGACGTGACACTGTGGTCCTCTTGTGCTGGCATCTAGTCTCTGTGCAGTATCTAGCCTCCTCACTCCTAAGAACATGTCCAGAGATTCCTTCTGGACATCTCCCCTGTCCTCTCCCACCCCAGTTCTGTGCAACGTGATTTGTAGCCTCAAGTGGTCAGGAACCAGAGGTGTGAGGTGATGTCTGCGTGCCGGGCTCGTGGGATTGGCCAAGGGGACCGTGAGCAGAGCCTGAGGATGAAGCCCCAGAGGGAAGGGAGTGAAAGTGATTCCCTGTCGGTGTGCCTTGAGCTGCTGGCCTTTCAGTTCCAGGCCCCTGGAAGAGCCTTCATCCGTATCACCCCTGGTCCCTCCAGCCTCGTTCCACAGAGATGCCCTGTCTTCCTTTCTGCGTCTGTACGTTGTGGTAATAATAAGCTCAGCCCCACAGGAAACAGTGCACGTCAAGCCCTTCCCACCATGCATGGCACACAGCAAACACTCGAATTCTAATGCTCACGAATGTTACCCTCTCGTGCCAACTTAGGGGATAAGCAAATGGTAGAGGAGGTCAGATATGTGCCATTTGTATCGGGACTCCTGGTTGTGAAGGATGGAAATCCCAGTTTCCAGGTGCACGGGCTTTAGGCCTGCCAGGGGCTGAGCCCCCGTCCCACGGCCTCAGCCCCTGGTCTGCAGCACTCTCCATGACTCTGCTGTCTGTCTGCTGGCTTCGCCCTCGGCTTGGCCGTCTCTGCCCCACCCTGGCAACGGGTCCATGCTTGCATCCTATCAGCTGGCAGCCAGCCACTGTGCCCAGGGGCTTGCCAAACACCAAGTGGCCTGGCATGAGTCACATGTGCCCAACGGGCCAATGGGCCAAGGGGAAAGTCAGTCCCAACAGAACCATGTGTAGCGATTGGCACATGGGTGCTTTGCCGAGGCCATTTCAGGTCACTCTGAGAAGAAGTGTGGGTGCTAGGCATGTAAACACAAGAGGCACTCGTCCCAGGACTGTCCCTCCCAGAACCCAGCCCCAGTAGGCATTTCTGGTAAGACATCACTGACAGGGGTGAGGGGTGGAGAGGGGTGGGGGGGGTGAGGAAGGTCGGGGGTTGGCGGGGCTTGAGAAGTTCCAGTGGGGAGGCACCTCCTGCCTCAACCAGCAGCCTCTTCCAGGATTAAGTAGTTGTCATTGTTAGCAAGCAGTTCCTGTCACTAATCAAGTTCCGTCACCCCCAGTGCTCTGGGTTCCACGGTCACAGAGTCAGTTAGCCGCTCCTCCGCACAGCAGGTCTTGAGCTAACCAATCCCGGCGCCATATTTGTCTGGAGGCCTTTGCTTTCCATGACCTAAACATCCCTTGTCCCTCTAGCCTTGTTTCACAGAGTCGCCCTTTCTTCCTGCTCACCCTTCTCTGCACAAGTTCCGTTTGTCCCTTGTGAAGCTTGGGGATACCACTGAATGCCTATTCGGGGTACTTTCCCCTCACTAATGAGCAAGCTGTCCCGGGGCCACTCCCGTTATTCCTAAGGACAAGCCTCCCTGCGCAGGCAGGTGCGTGCACTCCATCAGCAGCCGGCCACATTCACTTCCCTTATAATTACATAGTTTCAGTTGCCTGCTTTGCACTGTATCCCCCAAGGTCCATTTTCACAGTGTGTCCACTTTATCTCTGCAGACGCCCAGCCAGTGAGGCTGGGAAATGAAGGCGAGCTGGGGCACCCTGAGGACTCGGTCTCTGGTTTGAGGGTCCTGCTGTTGGCCTGACTACCATGGAGTTCTGTCTCCAATGCCCAGATGTCCCTACCCTATTGTACCCTTTAGGGGCCCCTCCCTCTCCAGCCTGCCAGGAGGTCGGGGCAGAGGCGGGGCTGCAAGATGAGAGTTGGGGAAGCAAGAGGGGAAGTGCCCGGAGGCTGAGATGAAGAGACAAGATTAATGAGCGATGTTTACAGGGAAAGAGAAGTGCAAGAGACCAACTAGTTCATAAACTAAGTTAGGAAGAGGCAAAGTAGGCATTGCAAACAGATTATTTCTGTTCTCTTCCATTAGCCAGCGGCATGAAAGATCTAGGAAAGTATTTCTACAAAGGAACAAAGAGGAAATAACGTCTGGCATTGAGAGGACCTTCAAAGCTGAGGATGAGGACAGAAGTCTCAGAGACAGACACTGGAAAATTACCGGAGGCCTCCTTCTCACACTTAAACGTAAGAAACATCCAAACCTGTAGAGAATTTTTATGAGTTCATTTGAATCAAACTGATGGCAATTGCCAGGAAGCAACATCTCGACGGATTGAGAAAATGCCCTGGGAAATGAGTTTTACCTTATAAACTCACTTTATACATCAGAGTCAGAGGGGAAGACATGGGGCAGAGGGGTCCCTGAAACCCACTGGCGGTAGCCTGGGGAGGTGGGAGAAAACAACGCAGGAAGCATCTGGGACTGGATAGAGTGTAAACAGGCGGACACATTCGTCTGCTCCGTAGGCGGGCTCAGGACAGCGAACAGTTCACATGGAAGAAATTCACTTCCAATGCAATGACATTGGCAGCATGAAAGCAGATGTAAACACGATGGACCATGCGAACATTAATCAGAAGCAATCAGGAGTGGCTCCCTATATTAACACCAGGTAAAGCAGACTTCCGGGGGAAGATGTCTCAGACGTAGAACATTACACAAGAAGGCCAACCCACCAGGAAGACATAGCGATCCTAAATACAGGGTGGGGTAAAACGTATTTTTATGGTTGTGAGTGCATGAGACAATTTATTCTTGTGCTATTATTTATTAATTACTGTATTATTTCCCACATGAACAACTGTAAATCGACTCCTCACCCCACCCTGTATGAACCAAACAACAGAGCTCCGAAAGATGTGAAGCAAAATCTGGTAGAACCGAAAAGAGAAATTGATAACCCCACATTACGGTTGGACACTGCAACACCTCTGTCACGGGAATCCTAGAACAACGAGACGGAAAATCAGCAGGGACACAGAGGAACTCAACAACCCCACCGACCAACAAGACCCAGTCATTACTTACAGAACGCTCCATCCACCAACAGGCAAATACACGTCATTTTCCAATGTTCTTGGAATATACACCAAGATAGACCATATCCTGGGTCATAAAACAAACCTGAACCAACTCAAAAGAATTGCAGTTATACAGAGTGTGTTCTCAGGTCCAAATGGAATCAAATGAGAAACGAGTAACAGAAAGGTCATAGGAAAACCACTGAAGACTTGGGATCCAAACGACACACTTCTAAACAATCCCTGAGCCAGAGAGGGGGTCTTTGGAAGCAATACAAAATACAGTTAACTGAATTAAAATCAAAGTGCACTTGTCAAAGTTGGTGGGACACCGCTCCAGCAATGCAGAGAGGGACATTTGTAGCTCTAAATGCATATAAATTGAAGATGAGGAAAAGTCTGAAATCAACAATCTAAACTCCTGCCTCAGACATGTAGAAACAAGTAGAAAAAAAAAGTAAAGATAAGAGCAGAA